CAGATTGAATAAATATGGTGAAAGAATATGACCCTGGCACACACCTTTCCTGATTTAAAACCGAACAGTGTCCTTGTGTTCTGTTGGAAGATTTCCTCTTAGTCTATACACAGGTTCCCCATGAGCACATGTTCTGAAATATCTATTCTTCACAATGTAATCCATAGCTTGTCATGATCCACACAGTCAAAAGCCTTTGCAAAATCAATAAAGCACAGGTAAATATCTGCCGGGGGCCCGCCCCAGCATACTTATTCCAGGGGTTTTTCTGAAGACATGTACGGACGTCGGCGATAAGGATTACATGGAGTCATGGGTTGTGATAAATTCAAAGTCTTCTTATTACATGCTTTATTCTTCTCATTTCTATGCTACTCTACTACTGTACTTCTCTCATTCTTTACTGCCCTGCTCATTTTTTACCCTCCTGCTCATTCTTTTCTCTCCTGCTCTCTTGCTCATCTCTTCTGCTTCTTTACTAGCTTCCTCTCCTTCCATTTCTTTACTGTCTCTTTCTCTACGTTACTCTTATTCTTTTTCTTTCTACACTACTACTCCTAATTATCTACATTACTACTTTCACTACTCCACTCCCCTGCTCCTTCTCTACATTACTCCCTCTATCCTCCCTCCATTCTTTTCTCCTTCTACTCTCCTCTGCTTATTCTTACCTCTAATTCTTACCTCTACTGCTACTTACTCTATCTTACAACCGCCTTATATACCATTACAAAAAACATTGCTTTCATAGTAATCAATGACATCAAAATATGATCTATCTTGGGGCACATTCCTTATGGTTTACAACAGGGATGAAAAGTTACAGCAAAGAGACATTATCTCAACGCATAGGAGACATTCAGGCACCTTAAAACCTTTTAGTTAAACATTTGTTCCTACATAAATCTATTCTTTTCTCTGAGAAGCAAGTTAACCTTCACATATTTCTTAACCTTTGTCTGTTAAATCTTGTTAATTTTAGTTGTTAGGTGCAATTAACTCTCCATTAACTTCTTCCATACACTATCTGTTTAGAGCCTACAAAAACATCACTTATCGGGGAAACTGAGGCTATGAAAAACAACTTCTCTAATTTACTGATCATTAATTTAAGAATGTCTAAGTCAGACTTTTTA